CGAGCGGCAGATTGCGATGCGTCGTCGAGCACAAAACGTATTTTGAATAAAATGTGTTGATTACATGTATAATTAAACGAATTACCTCATCACGACGCACATCCCTCGGCTCGCGATCACATATGCAATGATTTAAATAATAATGAACATGATAATGGACATGACGTTTCGAAAAGTCGGAGCTGCTCTCGGCGCACGCCGCAGAATTTTCATACAGGTGACCGAAGAGTCACCTATATGAACGATATGTGACTTTGATTGGGTGCGATATACGTAACTATATGCATCTCGCACACGTGATGACTGTCCACTTTACTGTCAAATCGCGAGTATGGTGTGTCGTATATAGGACGCACGGACGTGTTGCGCATATATCGAAATAGCGAAGCGGGCATATCCGAGACAAATGCACATGTCAAGAGGTAGTGTAAACAGAGGGTGAAATACTCACCTAATTTGCAAATGTAACCCGACTTCTGCTAACTCTATAACGCGGCATTCGTATCTCGCTTTTATCAATAAATGCACTCATTTTTTCCTGAGATTCTATAATACATGTAATGTAAACTATATATGCTAAATGCGTGCATTTACTGAATAAAAGCGAGACATGAATATGGATTATTATTTGCGGAATATATAGGTATATTTTTCAATTAATATCACAACCAAATAACGTTTCTAGATGGTAAACAGATTGTAAAAGAGATTAATGGGATAGATTGAGGCATTTTGTAAAAAGGGACTCTCGATAATTACAGCGTACTTTGCACGTCGTAATTATAGCAGATTGCAACGGACAATTTTGCAAATTTTATATATAGCGTATAGCGTATAGCGTATATTACCGCGGCAAAAGCGGTTGATCTAATTTATGCATTTTGCAGACGATTTAACAACTTAACGAGATTGACGGAAATGAGGATCGATAATTTCGTCAGCGGAAATAACCGTCTAATGCGCCGGAGAGCTGACGTTCATCTAGCTGTCCGACTGTCAGCTATCCGACGTATCCACGGAATTCGAAGTATTCGGAAATAGACTCGTCTCCAGCATCTCCCACCTGCCTGAAGCGCCGTCTAAAAATACGACAGAGTACATTTGCCGGCAAACGAGGGATCGATGACTGAGTCCGGCAAATGTGTTCCTCGCAAACAAACGATAAAGCCGAGAGGGGGATGAGCAACAAGGGAACTTGTGACGGTAAATAATGTGATACTACACGATAAACAGAAATAAACGCGGAAGCTACTTTGGACACAATACACGTCGAAGTAGAAGTTTCCATTGCGCAATATTAATAAGGCAAAGTAGAATTATCTTTTTCGTTCAACAAGGGAGAGGAAACGAGACATCTTGTGTCGTATCGACGATATCTTGATCTTGCCCACTTGTGCCGCCGCAACAAAGTTTCTCCGATAACACGATTAATCAACAACGGTAAACTCGAGTTCCGCGAGTTATATGATTAATAAAGTTTTCCGGGTCTGTGCGCGGAGCGGATATCTGGAAGATTCCCGTCGATCCGAAAAGCTGCGGCATGCGGAATTGCGCGGCGTGACGCGGGCTGCTCTCCGGTATAATAAATCATCTGTCGCCTCGAAAGACTGAAAGATCAATTATTAGATCGCTCTTTATTAGGAACGACCAATGGTCCGCGACCACCAATATTCCATTTTCCTATATTTGCGCGAGGACGCGCCATTAGAGCGAGACGAACAAATGCGGGGATCAACGAGCTTCGAAGAAAAAGGAAAATGGAAAATCGAGATCTCTAGCGCCAGGCAGGAGAAATTTTTGAAAATAGCTGTCGAGCCAATTTCCAGGTAGTTGCCTGCGCTGCCCGATATATAGCCTAATAGCTTGCGTGTCCCTAATAGGCAAAGAAACTCGCCACGCACGAAAAGCCGCGATCGAAACTACCACGCCGCCGCTTGCACGCACGCATTTAACGAAAAAAAAAGAAAAAAAAACAGATTTTGCAGAATTACTGCGATTACGTCGAAGACGCATTGTTGTTACATGAATTATGTAAAAATACAGCTCACAGCGTGAGAACTTCATGGCGATATTTGCCAGTGGGAGTCACTTTTATATTAATTATAATTTCGATTATTGATTCGTCGGAAAATCCGTTTACTTAAAAACTTTTTTGAAAACAAGGTATTTACTTTTATCTCGCTGTTTCAATCGTGTGCAGCGATTCATCGGTTAAAATCGAAGTCATTAAATCGAGAAGATTAGATTCCAATCTAACCTAGAGTCTAGAGATTCTAGTTTCTTCCACGTCGATATCACGGCCCGCACGTACTGCACACGTATAGCTGCGCGAAGCGGCTTGAAAGTAAGCTGTGTAATTAATTCTTTGAAAATTTAGTGGCAAACTCGCGGGACACTCGCTGAAAAATGCAAAACCCGTCCTAACTGCGCGAACATTCAAATGTCAGTGCCGCAACCAGTTTCGCGGTACTCTTCCGCGACGGAATTAACGTCGCACTATCCACTTATTAGCGTTAGTTGCCCAACGGGTAAATTATACGCGGCCGCGATAGCCGGCACGACGATTTTATGCCGTCGGATAATTTACGCTCTCGTTAAGTAGTCCACGATGTATTAGACGCATAAATATATCAAACAGGTACTTGTAGAACGCATTATTTGCTTTTTATCTGAGAGAAAGATATAAATACTTAAAACGCGAAGACAAATTAGACCCGCGTCATCATTCTTTTTCTGTACCTTTCTTACATCAATACCTATACAGATTCTCTTAATACACTTCTTTGTTACATCATTAAAGTCGATCGTTAGGAGAGATAAAGTATCCTAATCGCGAAATCATGAGAACAATAAAAGTAGCCGATAATCGGCGGGGCGCGATCTTTTATTTTTCACCTGACAAGAAATGACGCTCGCGTTAAGCGTCCGGCAGTAAAACTGCCACGTGCTATTTCTCCGCTTCTTTTTTTCCGGGATGATATCGCGAAAGCTCCCGAGTCTCCCGGCGGATACTTCTTTCGCTTCCGCACGGTCGTGCGTTTCTCTACTTCGTTCGGGGAAAACGCCAGACGCTCCCTGCGAGAGATTCCCCCTCAGTCCTATGGCGGCTCCGGCGCGAGTATTATCAAAGTTCTTCCCCATAGACATCGTAAATCTTTCGTGGGTGGGAAGGAAAGGCGTTTCCCGCGGTCGGAGAGAGCCGGCGCGACGAGACAAAGGAAACGCCGCGCTTAAAGCCACTTTATCCGAACTTGTTGGGTTTGCATGTAACCTGGCCTGCCCACTCTCAGACACCGGCGGTCGCATCGTGCCCGCCTGAAAATTCAATTTGCAAAACGGTATCGCGCAATTTCCTACGTAATTCACTCGCTGCGCCAGTAGTCTGACAATGTTGTTTCTACCGCCGCATCATCCCGTTATTCCTGTCCGCATCAGACGTTTATGGAAATATCGGTAACGTCAGTTATTAAAGCGCGTCGACAATGTCGTTACGCGTATAGCTTTAAGACTTTTTCTCTCTCTCTCTCTCTCTCTCTTGATTAATATCTATAATTTAATTTCATTGAATTATTAATATTATAAAGTAATATGTGCATGTATATATGCAGTATATGTGAATGTATTGTACGAGTATAATGGAGTATTTTTCTTATTTTTCAGAAACTATGATGAAATTGATTAGTCGGATATGACATTAACATCTCTAATTCACGAATTCCATCAAATTTCATTAGATTCCATCCAATAGCCAGAAAAGTCTTCGAATCGTACCTCGCACGAGCGAGTGTCGTCTCGTTTCAACCGCGAACGGAGATATCTCTGCCGGGAGGAGACGCGTTCAAAGTGAGGAACGGCCGCATCACGCGACGCCTATCTCAACAAGTCGCGGAAATCGGTATACTGATATAGTTAGATATCCCCTCGCTCCATTACGTGTGTTACCCTTGCGGTGGTTTACGGGACACGAAACGGTTCCTGGCGTTACCATGCGGGATCCGGTGATCCCTGACACGAGCACAATGGCCGTGAATTCACCGCAACGAATTAAAAGTGGAAACCTTCGTGCAATTAAGTGCAATCAACGTTCAAAGATTTTTTAAAAGCAAACAGCTAATTACGTTTTCTTTCTAATAATCACAATGTATTTACTGACACCCATGAATATACAAAATAGCGACAATTAGGAGAAATTGAGATTAATATACAGCATTATCGATTTGATAAAACTTAATGAAAAAAAAGATAAAATAATAAAATAATCTTGCTCTTTGATTAATTCTACACGAGCTATATTTTCATGAAGACTCGTTTCGGACTTGGTCAGGAAACGTGCCAGCAAACTTCGCGAAAAGTTCTGTATATTTGCGTACAGGGGTGAGTTTCTGCTTAGTCTTAGTCATCGGAAAAGTGATCGCACCCGCCCGCCGTGATTTTTCGCGTTTTCACCGTTGCATGATCGGTCGAAGGTGAACCAGCATAATGAAGAAACTCCCATTAACGACTAGCCGTAACTCGCAATGTCACGTTCGCGTACCAACCTGCGAGGATGACTCATACCGCACAATGTATTTGCATAACAAAAAAACCGTATTCAAATGAGCAATATGTATATATGAATTGTTAATCTCCATCCATCAGGCACAAGAAGATTCAAATGAAGAAATATAAATGTATCGGACGAGCCGGAATAAATGATTTTGATCAAACGTCATAGTCAATATTTAAATAATTGTTCAAATATCTATATACATAGGTATATAGTTTCATAATATTTTCCTATTCCTCTCCGAATCTAGTTTCTCGCTTTTTGTCATCAATATCAAAAAAATTATGTATAATATACTGATTCAATTGCAAGCGTAATATTATGTATGTGAATAATATTAATTAATAAAGATTTTTCTATTGTCTTACATTTGGAAATCAGTATTTTCCGGCACACCCTTTCGAGTCGACAAAAACAATGAAATTAAATCACGGGCACGGTACTCTCCAATTACCTCTCACGTCCTTATCGTTGCTCGCGTGTTATTACCCCTTCGATCGGGGGTGGGCAGGTACCCTCTTACACGGCTTGCCGGGGTAGCAGCGACGATACGATGTAGATGCCGCGTGCAGGGTGGTCGCGCGTCGACTGAGAGCTTCCCTCTTTCGGGGAGACCGAATCCACAAGAAACGACAACGGCGGCGCCGTGACGCAACCCCTTAGCGGCCAGCCAACCATCCGGCCAGCCGCCCCTAGCCGCCGCCGTTACCACCCCCGAATGCATCCCCACCGCGTCGGCGATTATCGAGAGTGGGGAATACGTGTATCGCCACGCGGCCGACAAACTGGTGGGGGTGTCTGCTGGTGGAATTACTTCGTTCGGTAAAAAACATCCTTCCCTCTCTCCCACCCCCTCACTCATTCTCTCTCTCTCTCTCTTTCTCTCTCTCTCTCTCTCGTTTTATCTGTCCCTTCTCATTCGGGAGGACGGAAAATTGCGGGGTGGAAAGTGGAGGACGTACGAGGCCGATGTACTGAGAGCATGAAGGTCGCGACGGCGGAGCAGATAAATCAAAATTCGTGGATGAACGGATTGGTACGGATTTTTCACCGTGAACGATGAGAATATGACACTGGCTATGTATAAGTTAGAATAAAGATACATAAAGAAATAAAGATACGGAAAAAATGCCTGATATTTGAAGCGAAAATCATTAAACAAAATGATGCAATCTTCATTTTTAGCAATTTAAAATAATCAACGATAATAATAATTTAATTATTGCGGAGTAAATACAGAATATTATTGCAATCAAAGATTATTTATATAGTCTTAATTATGTTAATCTCAATAGTTTAAAAAATCGTTACTTAAAAAAAAAGTTTTGAATATTATGAATTTTTCTGTACTTTTCGTTTAAAGCTTTTAACATTGTCATTTTCAATTTTGGCAATTCTTGAGAAAAAGTGCCAATTTTATATGTTGTAATAATCTGAAATTATATTTATTAACATCTACAATATAATTTCTTCAAGGATAAAAGGCAACTTTCACGATGATTGAGTTTTACGAGAGATGATTGACGAGGGCAAAGCAACGACAGGATCGAGACAGCAGACAGGGAATAAATTAAAATTCATGACACACGCTATAGATTTGGAAAACAGTTGGTAACCGGTTACCGTCGAAGTCTGAATTTCATTGTTAAACTACGAAATTGAAACTACGATGTCGAAAGTAAAAAAAAATCGCTTTTATAAATATAAATATAATATAAAGCATGAAAATAAAAACGTAAAAAACATATAACGTATGTGCAAATAAAATAGGTTTACCTCGTAAGTTTTAGAAGAAAAATGCATAAAATCAAGGTTCACAAATATACATATGAATAAAAAGATTATAATAGTATTAAAAATATAAAAACGTTAGATTTAATGCCCTGACAACGTTTGAAGCGACTGTTACTAATTAGTTATTTAAATTCTTTAAAACTGACATCGCTTCGTTACGCATTCCTTAATTTTAAGTTACTTAAAAAAGCCGAGGACATAAATTCGCAAACAAGAAGTTTTTCTTCTGTCTAGAAAGTTCATAACGACACCATAGAGACGGAAGAGGAGAATGGTAAAAGGTGAAAAACTAAAGCTAATATGCCAGAGAGCAAATGTTACGAGCCTGGCTCGCAAGAAAATTAAATTTTTGAATAAATAGTACAGAAAAGTAGCGCGTCCCGCGTATATGATATGAAGTTAATAACACATTTCGACTAATTTAAGCAAAATAGAATTCGGGAGGACGGAATTAGCTTTTTACGTATACATAAGCTAATTAAAGTTTATATAAAAAATTTATGAAATTGTTTGCAATTGATCCCAACATGATTTTCACAATAAATATAAGTATTACTATCCAAAGTTATCAAATTTAATAGAACATAAACATATAATATATACCTACTGTGTGATCGAATGATGTTTTTCTTGAGGAGACCTCAAGTATCTCGAGAAATAAGATTGATATTTTATCAGATGGCAAGTTTTAGATAACTTCGTTAAAAATGCGATAACTGCGAAATTTGCTCGCCGAGATCTACGAAGTCAAGCGCCGTAGTGTCGCGTAGCCATCGTTTTTGCCCGCCGTCGCGAGCGACGATGGAGATAAATTAGAAGCATCGCCGAGATAGGCGGTGCAAAGTAAGGAGAACGAAATCCGTATCAGTCGTCAGAGCTTGACAATTTCCTCAGGGCGCGCGTCAAAACGACACCGCGAGGATTCTTGGGTGGCTGCACGACACGGTGGAAAATGCGAGGGATTGATGATACCGGGGTGCATCCAACCCGTTGGCGCGAAATAAGTTTCGGAGATAAAGCTCGGCTGGGAATTTATCCGGTCCCCCACGTCACTCACGGGTTTCGATAATAATTTCGGATAAAAAATATCCAAACGGTGAAAATGTAAACATTATAAAACAAGCATAATCATAAAACGTCGAATATCAAATATTAAATATCGGCGCTTCATACAATCGTTTCAATTCACATTTTTCTCTCATTTCGAGTTCGATTGTAAAATAAAGTCGTTGCGTAAATATTTATAAAGTAAATTTCGAAAAATAGGAAAAAATAAAAAGAGTTGCTAGAAGGGCGTCCTGCATCATTGATTTGCATAAAGCGAAGTGCTCGCGGATTACAATCTCGGAGGACACGCTCCGTATCTTAGACGTTTCTCTTCCCACGGGACGACTTCTCGCGAATAAGAGATAACCGTCGAAAAATGGCGACCTGTCGGTGTGGATTGCGCGGGGTAGCGCACGAAAAAAAATGGGCGTTTTCAACCTATCGCTTTTATCCGCCGCGCGCGAGACAGAGAATGCGGAAAAAACACACCAGAATGAAATTCCGTGGAGCGATGGTGATTGGTCGGGGACCAGCCTTGCTTCGTGAATCAAGCACGAAAAACCGGTTCTGAAGTGCAGCGGAGGATCTTACGGTGCATTGAAGGCAGCCGAGGAAGTTCAACGGGTGAGGATCGACGGACGGGAAGATCGATCGTGTTAAGAAGGTATACAAGCACGATCACAGCACCGTCGCGTTCCCGTTGTGCACCGTCTAATTTCATGCAATTCCGCACCCGTGCGTAAACACACGGCTAAATTAGGACAAGCACTTACCTTCCTCGCCGAATTTATCTCACCCTCTCTCGGCGTGGATTCAGATTAAACATTCACGACGAGTAAGTCTGCATTATATTTAGATTCGTAAACTACGGATGCTAATTTGGTCAAATATAAGAGAAAATTTTTCGAACTTCTCCATTATTTCTTTCAGGCTCTAAGACACAGTGGATTTCCCTTTTGTTATATCTTTTATGTATATGCAAGAAGGGCTTGACGACCTGCAAGTTAAAAATTACCCCGCGGTGTGGTCAATTTTTTACGTTTTATATGAGCCGAGGGTGTTCAAACTAAGTTTCGCATTCGCGAATTATGTGAAAACTTTCTTGAAAGCCCGTGGTGACTGCGAAATTACGTGGCAGTATCGTCATTGGGTGGAAGTTTTATGTCCAAAATTCCTAACGGTGCTGAACCTAATACAAAGCTTCAAACATATGACAATATCTCTCTCTCTCTCTGAATATGATTCACACAGAATACAATAATTGAGTTGGAATAGCAGGCAAGAGACGAGCTCGTGAAGTTGAAATTACCTTGGTAATTTGCGAAATACAATTCGCTGATTTATTATGTCTCTGATATTTCGTCATATCGTGATTTAAACACGAGTAAATAATTATCGCAAGGGAAAATTGTTAAAATAATGTTGAAAAATAACGTTAATATATAATAAAATTGGTGTTAAAATAAATTTTATAAATACACTTAAGACAATTATTTACTCTCGTATATACATATTGCTGTACATATTCCTCATGTGTATTTTACATTATTATTATACCTAATTTATGTATATAATTGAAAAGTTAGAATAAGGAGAGTAAATAAGTGTTATTTCGAATACACGGACGAGTTGATCGGTTATCGATAGCAGTGTACCGGATTTTCGTGTTGATTGTTCGGCTCGATTACCCATCGAAATCGCGAGGGTATTAGTTCGAGCTCGGATAATGCGAAGGCTAAAGCTCTGCGCAAGCACGCTGGCTGGACCACAATCGAGAATCCGACCTGTGGATATTCGAGCGTCGTCCGGATATCGGCCGTTCCCTCACAGCCGAGACAAGGGATTGACGTTAAGTATGTTAAATTAATTAACGTTAATTAATGCCTCCCCGAGGACGGTAGAGGAACGACGAACGAACGCGGAATACAGTGCAGGGATTACCCTGCGTCCCTCAGCGAGAGCCCATTAAAAACTACCGGAGCTATTTATTGCGTCGCCCATGCAAACACACGTGGTCGCGCATAATTACCTCACTGCTAGAAAAAAAAAAAGATAAAACTAATTTCGTCTCTCCTAGCCACACGCGCGAGGGAGAACATAATCGTCTTGTGCCAAAAGTTAACTCTTTACTATAATGGAAATGCCGAGCTTCCATACACGATGGCTGATTCATCAAAGATAAACGTGCCCGCGCGTGAAACTTTGATGAATCGGTCCATTATAAAGTATAATTCCAAGAGAATTTAATCGGTACTCATTATCTCGATTATCCGTTCAAAATTCATGGATCAGGTAAAATTACACCACAAGATGCTTTCTAGTATATGATACATATAAATGATACTATAAAAGAATTATATGTAAAATTGAAACAATTATAGTGGATAATTTTGGGGTACATTTTAATTATAATTTTTAGAAAAATTTTCGTAAAAACACACAATTTTTTCCATTATAAATAGTGTAATTTTTACACATACTATTTATGTAATTTTACATATTTTTTATACAGTATATGTTTTGTTATATTTTTGTACATGTCGAAATTTCGTTTATTATAATATAAATTAACCAGCAATTTAATACTTAAATCATCAATATCGATATATCCCAATTGACGATTAAATGCTTTCGAAAGTTATTAATATTACAATTTATCGGTTTAGTAAATTGGAATTCGAAATCTTTATTTTTCTTATAAATACAGACAAGCTACCCCACCAGATAAGATCGGGCGCGCTTA